TTACCGGTTACAAGAGAGCACAGAATGCGAAAAAGGTTTAAAAATTGGCTAACATTTTAATTACCGGTTACAAAATTTATATTACCATAGCAGAATAGACTTGTAAGAGCGCATTTAAATGCCTTTAATTCCTTGCGTAATTTAGTAGATATATATTTCAGTCCCAAAAATTTTAAGCGGGCGGCAGCCCTATTAAAAAGTACTTATTTTCACCTCATACTGTGAAGCTCTCCTTCAATTGATAAAGTATTATCAAAGAACGTTCTTTGATAATTCTTGTTTCCCCAAAAAATAAGTATACCGTTATACTTACGGTGACCATCCGTCCTTTATTTTAAAGGACAGTCCTTTATTTTAACCCCGTGTTCTTATAATTTTTTTCAAAATAAAGGACGCTTTTTGTCCTTTATTTCTTAAACTGTCCTTTAAATGAGCTCTGCATTTTTTCAGAGGTAAACTTTTAAACACAGCATATGAAAAATTAAAATATCCCTTATAAAATATAATGAAAACCTTCGCTAGTTTGTTTCGCACCCCACTAAGGATTTCTATTTAATCGGTAATCTTTGTACAATCTGTAAAGCACAGGGAAATTTGTGCCCAGGATCGCGTTGCACGCTGAGTTTCCAGTTCCACTGAAAGAGAACAAGTGGTAAAAAACTGTCATTTAGTGTTCGTAATTCACTGGAGCCTTCATTTTTCACTTAATTTGATTATTTTTTTTTTTTATGGAAGCTTACAATATTTGCAAGAGACCAGTTGAGCCTGATTTATATATAATTAATTTATTCAATTTTTTAGTGCAAAATGCAGAAAAAGGAGCAATTTTGAAGAAAAGTATTCTCCTGTTCCAGCTAATAAATGTTACGTAGCAAAAACTAGTTGAAAACAATTGTATGGTTTTCCCACAACGAAGAAATTACACAAAAATTTGAAATGTTATAAAAAATGTTCACCAAAATAAATATTTTTTTTTGGTATTTGGCAAAAATTGGTTGAAAAATGAAGGCTCCGGTGAATTACGAACATTCAATTCCAATTTTGAACCACTGTGTTCTGGCTTCGTCGTGCAGTATGAATTATGATAAACGCATTTTGGTAGCAAAGGATGGCGAAGTCCTTGAAAAGGTTTTGGCTTCATTTTTCGCTACAGCACGGGAACTTGTACAATTAAATAATATAATTAACTGGTAAATATGTGATTTAAATTACGATATGGGCAAGGTACTTTTCTCATACAAGTTGTATGTATGTACGTATTCCCAAATCATTTTGAAAAAAAGTCTTTTATTTTACGTTGGTTAATATGGTCACCGTAGCTATCGCTAATTTTGATCTCCAAAAGAATAGCAGGNATAGTTATACTCAGCTCAATCATCTCCATCGATCCGAATACTTTTTTTGTTTAATTTAAGACATGTTTTCCGCCCGGCAAACTGTATATTAAAATAAAATGTTGAAATAACGAACGGTCTAATGCACGTTCACCATTTTCATGAACGAAAGACACAAGATCACGTAAGAACAAGAGAGTGAAAAAAGTCGATTTTTTTAGCGGGTTCTACGCCATCTTGTTTCACTGGAAAACGAGCGAAAAGTAAACAAAGCAAAGAAAACAACGAAAACCAAAATTAGCCAAAATTATTGTCAGCCACTTTAAACGCACTATTTAGGTAAAATGATGCAACAAAATGCTTTAAAATGTGTTGTCATGTTGAATTAACTTTTCTTTACTTGAATAAAAGTGTAAAATAGAGGTGCTTGTGATGTAAACAAACGCTCAGCTGACGAACCCGCTTTCCCAAACTTTTTTCTCAAAACCAGTTACAAATACATTGTCGCGTTCTTACGTGATCTTGTATTTTTGGTTCATGCACCATTTTTGTGTCTTTGGAAAATTTTCGATAGCGAAAATACTCGATATTCTTGAAAAACTATCGATAGTGAAAAAAACCGAAACAATCGATAGCTTGCCACCAGTAAGGACAGGTGAAAATATGAGTTTTATGGATAAAAAAATCATACTTTAATCATGTGAAATTAAAGGAGAACGTAGAGAATATTCCAAATCACAATCTCTTCATAACCGCAAGGCATTATAAAAGGTAAAACAACCAATGGAAATGCAAAGTAACACTGCCTCCTGCATGGAGGACAAAAAGTGCCGCATTTGTGGATTAGCAGACATTTGCAACATAAATATCTTTACTTCCACTAACGCTAAAAACTTAATAAGGAAGATACTCGCAGTTTATCCAATAGTCGTGAGCTAATTAAAAATATTTGTAAAAATATGTTTTTTAATGGTATTGAAATCTAACGTATACATAGATGTATCAGCATGACCCGCTACCCAAGCATATTTGTAAGAAATGCATTAACAACGTTAATTACATGTATACGGACGTTCAGCGGGTAATGATAATGCAGGAAAAATGGACTGATAATGTCCGTCGCATACAGCCTAACAACGATTACGTACGCATAATGGATTTGGTTGGGGTGGGTTCTATTTTCGTACAATACTTTGAAGTCCTTTTTGTACTTTCCATAACCGATTACAGAATTCCAGCGACGTAACTTTGGAGTCAATAAAAACAGTATTTCAAGTGGATATTCAACGAATACCGGGCCGAATAATTCCAAAAGATGTCCCTCAAAGTACTGAAGCTTCAAATACAATTATAAATAACAATAAAGTTGAAGTGAATGGACCGGCTTTTCAGAAAATACAAAAATCACTAGGAATTCTTAAAGTAAAACCTGCAACGAATTCAACCCCAGAAATAAAAGAGCTTAAAACGATGTTAGCCCTTAATGGTTGCACTCTGCGGCCCTTGAATTTAGCTAAATCAAAATCAGAATCTGTTGAAAACAAATCTGCAACTAATCTAAAAGACACAAGACACATAATTAACGAATCGCGTCAATGCGAAGATGAAATGCCTCTAACATATTGTANATCAATAAAAACAGTATTTCAAGTGGATATTCAACGAATACCGGGTCGAATAATTCCAAAAGATGTCCCTCAAAGTACTGAAGCTTCAAATACAATTATAAATAACAATAGAGTTGAAGTGAATGGACAGGCTTTTCAGCAAATACAAAAATCACTAGGAATTCTTAAAGTAAAACCTGCAACGAATTCAACACCAGAAATAAAAGAGCTTAAAACGATGTTAGCCCTTAATGGTTGCACTCTGCGGCCCCTGAAAGTAGCTAAATCAAAATCAGAATCTGTTGAAAACAAATCTGCAACTAATCTAAAAGACACAAGACACATAATTAACGAATCGCGTCAATGCGAAGACGAAATGCCTCTAACATATTGTAACACTTCATCATTGGAGTGTCTGGAAGATGAAAGTTTTAGCAGTATAAGGTGCCGCTATTGTGAGTTAAGTTTCGATTCTCAGTCTTCATTAGCCACACATCAGATGCAACATTTACGTATAAGCATTCCTCGTCTTTGTGATAAAAAATATTTAGAGAAAAAATTGAGAAAAGGTCGCGTTATAACTGTTCAAGATCGAAAATGTATAAGATGTTTGAATTGCTGGCAACTATTCGGCCATAATAAGGGGATATTAAATCATTGGATGTGGGGAGAATGTCATTTTTATTGCCATATTTGTGGCAAAGAATTCCCAACTTCCCCAAAGTTACTGCGCGATCATGTGCCAGAGCAACATGGCATAAGCTACCGTTCTTCGAAATCAAGAAAAGTGCATCACACAATGCATAAAGAAGAAGTATGTATGACTGGTTATCATCATCAAACATCAAATAAGGAGCCGATGTCTCTTCAAGATAAAGTCTATCGGAATGCTGCTAACAAAGTAAAGTATTTTTTCCATCTAGTTGCATCTTGGGCACTAAATATTTTAAATTTCACAGGTTTCAAAAGGTAGCCCAAAACAAAATTTGGCAAACAATTCCGCAGGAACTGCTTGCTTCCAGCAATCCACAAATCTAAAAAAGGTAAAGAAAAAAATTCCCTTCGATTCGTTGAGCAGCGCAACGTGCAACATCTGCTACAAGGCTTTTAACAATTTTAAGGCATGCAATTCCCATATGCGCAAGCATAAGCCCTCATACATATATGGTGATATTGTACTGTCGCCACATGCTTATGGTGACGGCTATAGCAATATCGATCCACAAATCCAAGAGACGCAAGAAGGGAAACATAGCAACAATTTCAATGNCATCACACAATGCATAAAGAAGAAGTATCTATGACTGGTTATCATCATCAAACATCAAATAAGGAGCCGATGTCTCTTCAAGATAAAGTCTATCGGAATGCTGCTAACAAAGTAAAGTATTCTTTCCATCTAGTTGCATCTTGGGCACTAAATATTTTAAATTTCACAGGTTTCAAAAGGTAGCCCAAAACAAAATCTGGCAAACAATTCCGCAGGAACTGCTTGCTTCCAGCAATCCACAAATCTAAAAAAGGTAAAGAAAAAAACTCCCTTCGATTCGTTTAGCAGCGCAACGTGCAACATCTGCTACAAGACTTTTAACAATTTTAAGGCATGCAATTCCCATATGCGTAAGCATAAGCCCTCATACATATATGGTGATATTGTACTGTCGCCACATGCTTATGGTGACGGCTATAGCAATATCGATCCACAAATCCAAGAGACGCAAGAAGGGAAACATAGCAACAATTTCAATGCCGATCCGCATTCTTGGTCTTTTGCTGGTCTCCAACATAGAGATACGAATAAAATGTCTACAATGAATTTTATTACACGTCAAGTTGATATGAAAACGAGTGCAGGCATAAGGATTAGATCTATCACAGAAATGCAAAAAACTACAAAGCCGCATAGATTGCTTCACCCTAATGTAATTACTGCAGAAGCTACAAATAGCCTGAACTGTTGGCTTGCTTCGTCAAATGATCCAACATTAAATTCTGTCGGTGAACAGATATTTGAAATAAGTGAAATTAAGGTGAAAGAAGAACCTAAAGAACTTGAAAGCATTTAGTCTAAAGGAATCCGCAAATAAAAAATCTTCCCCGCTTTGAAAACAAATTATAATAGAATTAATTACAGCTAGAAATCTTCGGAAGAACTGAGATATTTTTCTAATATTATGAAGGCCCGCAGGCGATTAGCTTGCACGTAACTCGGTCGGCATCATATTTCTAATAATTAATAAATATATATCTCTTGGCAGGAAATGGCATTTTCATGATAATAATAAAAACCATCCGCCTTACTATGAGGACAGCATCAAAACATAGATCATATATTCAAGAAGGAATTCATCAAAAATAGGGTTCAGGTATTTTTGGATAAAGATAAGTCTAACAAAGGTAATCCATAAGCATTTTGAGTAAACTTTTAATAAACGGAAGACAGCCATTTTTTCTATATTATTTGCTAAATACCTATTTTATTGCGGTTATTTGTTATCAAAGCAATCTGTATTCATACCTGGAAGGATTCCTCAGCGAGGTTATTTAATTTGTTGCCGCGCAAGCTCAAGTGCTCCAATTCATCCAAGTTCATAAAAGCTCTTCGTTCGACACGATCAATTTTATTATCATCCAAATGCAGTTTACGTAAAGCCTACAAATATTAATAAAATATGAATTAAGATTTTTCCAAATAAGTTAAAAAAAACTCCAATTAGGTGCCTAACTAACCTCTAGATCAAAGAACGTGTGTTGTGATATTTGGGCTAAATGATTAAAACGCAAAGATATCTCTTCCAACTTCGAGTGTATATCACCCTGTAACATATTTATAATAAATTATAGAATTAGGCATAATAAGTAAGGAAGGAGTACTAAAAACAGGTGCTACTCTGCCTTCGAACACTGATTTATGACTTTTTAGGTCGTTCCATCCAATCACCAATTACAATAATTTCATGCGAATTTTCTTACCTGAAATGTGCCCTTCATGACCTGTTCGATGCGATTGTCGTGTAATTCCAGTAGTCGTAAATTTTTCAAGAAATGAAAACTAGTATCACTCATGCTAGTTATTTTGTTGTTACTGAAATCCAGTTCTTGTAGTGAGGTTAAATGCCGTAATGGATCAGCAGGTAATGCTGCGCCTGTGAAGCCATGTGAAATTTTTAATGATATTAAGGAGTGACCAATCTGAAACAGTAAATATTCAGTTTCAAAATATGGTTTTTAATTACTTGTTGCAAATGAAATTTGTGGACATATACTATATACAGGATGTCCTAGACCATCCGTCCGCCCCCTCCGAAATGGGGTTAAATGCTTTTTATTGAAAACCGCAAAAATGTCAACTACTACTACTACTACTATCTTTTGGTGGTGTTACCGGAAGGTAGAAACCGGAAGTTCGTTAAACTGCCCGGAAGTTCATTTTTCCAAATTAGATAAAAGCCCTCATCGACTCGGTACTTCTCTGTTCGCTATGTTTGAGTTGCTGTCGCTTAAAGAAGAATTTTGCATGTGAAAGCAACAACAAAGTTAGCTAGCACGGATAGACGGTATCGAGTTTGGTTGTTGTTGTTGTAGCAGCATACAAGTTCTCCAAAGGGTTTTTGGGGAGTGTTGCTGGAGTGACAGTCCTTGGCCAGATATAAATCTGGGTCGTTCCGGTTACGTAGACCCGACTGTCGTGGGAACGTGAGTTCGTTCGTTTCGCCACTCGCAAACTGTTGGCGAATCGATGAGGGCTATACATGTTTTTATACAGTTTCGGATTCTAAGGATAAAAATACGTAGCTTTTGTTTGAAATTTTTTCTCGGAAGTGCCTTTTTATCCTCTAAAAGACCTTCGAACTTCCACTCGTCCTGGACTTCTTAAATTAATAAACATGTTTCTATTGGAAAACGAAAACACATGAATTACCAAGTCGAAAGTCTATCCGGAAGGTCCATTTTTTTAATGAGATTATTTAATTATACATATTTATACCAAAGATTGGAATTCTGCGCATAAGAATACGTAGTTTTTTTAAAATATTTACAAATTTTAACTTCATAAACTGCTATAGTTTGGTGGCAATTATTTCTTTTGTTTTGTTTCGATTTCGAACATTCCTAGGCAACCAGCTGATTTCGAAGATGTTTTCGCTCTTCCTCTACTTTCGATTCGATCGCAACTCAGACTACCAAACTTCGATTGTAGCGGAGCGGAATGCGGGAACGTAATCGAAATGCAGAATAGAGCAGAATTTTTTTAAATTACACATGTATGTTTTTACTACAGATTCGGATTCTGTGGACAAAAATACGTTACTTTTGTGTTCTCAGAATCGCCTTTTTCAACACTTTAATAGGAGTCCAGGACGAGTTAAAGTTCTATGGTCTTCTAGAAGTTGAAAAAGCACTTCGGAGAAACAATTTTCAAACGATCCCGAATCTGTAGTAAAAATATGTACATCTAACTTAAAAAAAACGACTTCCTGTCATTTTAACCCACTTCCGGTCCAAACCGAAAAGTTTCCGCCAAAAGATAATTTCTTTACATATTATGTATTTTTATGCTGAGAATGCGAATCTCTTGTAAAAAAAAATATGTATATCCTATTAAAAAATCTACTTCTGGTCAGTTTTACCCACTTCCGGTGGCAACCGGAGCTCGGTAATACAACCCAAAGATAGAGCATTCTGGACAACATTTTCACTCATTTAAGAAGGCTAGGACGAGTTGAAGTTCGAAGATCATTTAGAGGTTGTAAAAAGCACTTTCGAGAAAAAAGTGTAAAACAAAAGTTATCTAATTTGAAAAAATGAACTTCCGGTCAGTTCAGCCCACTTCCGGTCGAAACCGGAAGTCGGTAATACCACTAAAATATAGAGCATCCGCGATTTTTGCGGTTTTCGACAAAAAACATTTCCTCCCATTTCATAGGGAGTGGACGGGTGGTCTAGGACTCTAAATTATGTATGTATGTATATCATATGTATCTACATATAGTATACAAAACTAGTAAATTATTTTAGTATTGTTATATATTTATAATTTACTCACCTCATGAAATGCATCATTCTCAATCGTTTGTATGCCATTCTCACTAAAATCCAAGCGCTTAAGCCCACGTACATGTTTAAAAGCATGCGATTGTATAGTAGCGAGTGTGGCGCGCGTGATTTGCAAATCCTCTAATTCCACACCGAAATCCTTGAAATCATCCGGACCTATTGAGGTAGCGCTACCCATGCGCGACATTGACAGCGAGCGCATATTCCGCATTCTGGTCATACTTTTTGCAAATAAATACATATGTTTTGACTGCAAGGCAATGTCAAATACGAGACTTACTTGCGTAGCGTTTGTAGATTCGTTGGATCGTTCTTATCGCCGCTTAAGTCCAATTTGAGTAAGGTATATTGCATGGCATTAAAAGTCTCCAACGGTTGTTCAATTTTAATTTTGTTATCACGCAGGCTAATAACTCTGCATATACACATATGAAAAAAAACTCCAATTAGGTGCCTAACTAACCTCTAGATCAAAGAACGTGTGTTGTGATATTTGGGCTAAATGATTAAAACGCAAAGATATCTCTTCCAACTTCGAGTGTATATCACCCTGTAACATATTTATAATAAATTATAGAATTAGGCATAATAAGTAAGGAAGGAGTACTAAAAACAGGTGCTACTCTGCCTTCGAACACTGATTTATGACTTTTTAGGTCGTTCCATCCAATCACCAATTACAATAATTTCATGCGAATTTTCTTACCTGAAATGTGCCCTTCATGACCTGTTCGATGCGATTGTCGTGTAATTCCAGTAGTCGTAAATTTTTCAAGAAATGAAAACTAGTATCACTCATGCTAGTTATTTTGTTGTTACTGAAATCCAGTTCTTGTAGTGAGGTTAAATGCCGTAATGGATCAGCAGGTAATGCTGCGCCTGTGAAGCCATGTGAAATTTTTAATGATATTAAGGAGTGACCAATCTGAAACAGTAAATATTCAGTTTCAAAATATGGTTTTTAATTACTTGTTGCAAATGAAATTTGTGGACATATACTATATACAGGATGTCCTAGACCATCCGTCCGCCCCCTCCGAAATGGGGTTAAATGCTGTTTATTGAAAACCGCAAAAATGTCACCTACTATCTTTTGGTGGTGTTACCGGAAGGTAGAAACCGGAAGTTCGTTAAACTGCCCGGAAGTTCATTTTTCCAAATTACATAAAAGCCCTTATCGACTCGGTACTTCTCTGTTCGCCATGTTTGAGTTGCTGTCGCTTAAAGAAGAATTTTGCATGTGAAAGCAACAACAAAGTTAGCTAGCACGGATAGACGGTATCGAGTTTGATTGTTGTTGTTGTAGCAGCATACAAGTTCCCCAAAGGGTTTTTGGGGAGTGTTGCTGGAGTGACAGTCCTTGGCCAGATATAAATCTGGGTCGTTCCGGTTACGTAGACCCGACTGTCGTGGGAACGTGAGTTCGTTCGTTTCGCCACTCGCAAACTGTTGGCGAATCGATGAGGGCTATACATGTTTTTATACAGTTTCGGATTCTAAGGATAAAAATACGTAGCTTTTGTTTGAAATTTTTTCTCGGAAGTGCCTTTTTATCCTCTAAAAGACCTTCGAACTTCCACTCGTCCTGGACTTCGTAAATTAATAAACATGTTTCTATTGGAAAACGAAAACACATGAATTACCAAGTCGAAAGTCTATCCGGAAGGTCCATTTTTTTAATGAGATTATTTAATTATACATATTTATACCAAAGATTGGAATTCTGCGCATAAGAATACGTAGTTATTTTAAAATATTTACAAATTTTAACTTCATAAACTGCTATAGTTTGGTGGCAATTATTTCTTTTGTTTTGTTTCGATTTCAAACATTCCTAGGCAACCAGCTGATTTCGAAGATGTTTTCGCTCTTCCTCTACTTTCGATTCGATCGCAACTCAGACTACCAAACTTCGATTGTAGCGGAGCGGAATGCGGGAACGTAATCGAAATGCAGAATAGAGCAGAATTTTTTTAAATTACACATGTATGTTTTTACTACAGATTCGGATTCTGTGGACAAAAATACGTTACTTTTGTGTTCTCAGAATCGCCTTTTTCAACACTTTAATAGGAGTCCAGGACGAGTTAAAGTTCTATGGTCTTCTAGAAGTTGAAAAAGCACTTCGGAGAAACAATTTTCAAACGATCCCGAATCTGTAGTAAAAATATGTACATCTAACTTAAAAAAAACGACTTCCTGTCATTTTAACCCACTTCCGGTCCAAACCGAAAAGTTTCCGCCAAAAGATAATTTCTTTACATATTATGTATTTTTATGCTGAGAATGCGAATCTCTTGTAAAAAAAAATATGTATATCCTATTAAAAAATCTACTTCTGGTCAGTTTTACCCACTTCCGGTGGCAACCGGAGCTCGGTAATACAACCCAAAGATAGAGCATTCTGGACAACATTTTCACTCATTTAAGAAGGCTAGGACGAGTTGAAGTTCGAAGATCATTTAGAGGTTGTAAAAAGCACTTTCGAGAAAAAAGTGTAAAACAAAAGTTATCTAATTTGAAAAAATGAACTTCCGGTCAGTTCAGCCCACTTCCGGTCGAAACCGGAAGTCGGTAATACCACTAAAATATAGAGCATCCGCGATTTTTGCGGTTTTCGACAAAAAACATTTCCTCCCATTTCATAGGGAGTGGACGGGTGGTCTAGGACTCTAAATTATGTATGTATGTATATCATATGTATCTACATATAGTATACAAAACTAGTAAATTATTTTAGTATTGTTATATATTTATAATTTACTCACCTCATGAAATGCATCATTCTCAATCGTTTGTATGCCATTCTCACTAAAATCCAAGCGCTTAAGCCCACGTACATGTTTAAAAGCATGCGATTGTATAGTAGCGAGTGTGGCGCGCGTGATTTGCAAATCCTCTAATTCCACACCGAAATCCTTGAAATCATCCGGACCTATTGAGGTTGCGCTACCCATGCGCGACATTGACAGCGAGCGCATATTCCGCATTCTGGTCATACTTTTTGCAAATAAATACATATGTTTTGACTGCAAGGCAATGTCAAATACGAGACTTACTTGCGTAGCGTTTGTAGATTCGTTGGATCGTTCTTATCGCCGCTTAAGTCCAATTTGAGTAAGGTATATTGCATGGCATTAAAAGTCTCCAACGGTTGTTCAATTTTAATTTTGTTATCACGCAGGCTAATAACTCTGCATATACACATATGTATGTGGTTATAAGCATATGAGTGTGTTTAGGTGAATGTTAATGTAAGAAAAGCCGTCATCGATTTGCCACTTCTCTGCTCGCTATGTTTGATTTCCGGTCGCTAAGCCCACGCTTAACGAAAAAGTTTGTATATGAAAGCAACAAGCGAGTTTGGTTGTACCTCATTGAGCACGTTCGTTTCGCCACTCGCTTACTGTTGGCGAATCGATGACGGCTATAGACAGCAATCGCCTACGGCATGTGGTAATGGTGGATTTGTGGAAACGCAGTCTTTTTGACATACTCTACATAAATAAGACTCGTTTGCGAAATAGAAAAATGCTCCAAGTCGTAACTAATTTTCACAGACAGCGTTAATTTGTACGTAATGATTTTCAAATTGGTCAATAAGGTCGCAAGCTAATCAGCATACGGGCTGCGCGCCTAACAGCATGCTAAGCATGTAAATCGAAACGGACCTAATGTTTTTGCGTTTGAATGTCTAAATGTGCATACTGGCAGTTAGCAGAAGCCATATTGCTAACTTTTGTTAAACGTACAAATATTTTCCCCCAATTCGGCCAATTGCAATAGAAAAAGCATTTTTTATGTTTTCTTTGCTGCAGTTCGTTCTATTGTTTTAGTATGTTGTTTAAAGTTTGAATACGTATTTTTGCACAAATAGTGTATTTTTGCATACCCATTTACCTCACAGCCAACCTATTCCAACAATCGGATTAAAAAGACACTGAAATCGGCACGTCGCCACCACCTGTTTCGCCTAAAAGTTTACAACACATGCTTGCAGAAGTCTAACACCCATACACAACCGCTTATGTGCCACCATTTGCCTCCACATACCGCTGCGAGGTTTCAGACATACATACATATATATTTAAGTATGTAACATCAAAGCTAATAATTTGCTCATCCATATTTAGCATTATAACCCAAGGAAGTAATTATAGCTGCGCTTGCAGAAATAAATNTTGCGAGGTTTCAGACATACATACATATATATTTAAGTATGTAACATCAAAGCTAATAATTTGCTCATCCATTTTATAGCATTATAACCCAAGGAAGTAATTATAGCTGCGCTTGCAGAAATAAATATACAAGGTTCAGCTGCCTGAACCCCGGGCGTTGTATCTGCTTATGGCATACCCACCTTAGCACATCGAAATTGTTGAACAGTTTATGATGCAAATGAGTTAAATTATTGCCCGACAAATCCAATATTTGCAGACTATTGACCAAGCTATCGAACGCCACTGGTGAGATATTCGTGAGCCCACAGTAGCGCATATAGATCTCACGTATTTTTGCAGGTTTGAACGCGTCCTCCTAGTAGAGCCATAAGACAATGAGTATAGGTTTAAAAATTTGAATTTATGCCAATGCCACTATCGATCGAAACATCCACTTACCCTAAGCGTATGTATTGGATTACCATCGAAGAATGTTCTGTTCACAATATCAAAATTCTTAAAGGAATTTGGTGGCAACATATAAATATGATTGTATTCCAAGTGCAAATTGTCCAAATTAAGCTTTGTGGCGGATTTAATGTCATACGTATCATTGCCACTCAAGGACCATATCACATTGTGCGATATGTCCAGGGTTCGCAAACTTTTCAACGGTCCAAGCGCATCATATGGTATCTCGGAAAGGATATTATCGGTCAGCAACAGCTTGGTTAAGCGAGGCATACCATCCACAAAGACATTAGGATCAATTTCAAACAGATTGTTGCCACTCAAATCCAATGTTTCTAAAATGAGTAGACCCGAGAAGCTGTGTGCCATCAACATGGAAATACAATTATCGCGTAAAATAAGCGTTTGTAGCGAGTCTTCGAGGCCACGAAATGAGTCATGTTGAACCTGTGTTATGTGATTATTGCCTAGATCAAGATGACGCAATTTCTGTAAATGACGAAATGATTTTGATGGTATCTCTACAAGATCGTTTTGCGGCAATATTAGTTCCCAGAGCGAACGTTCCAGTCCCATAAAAGCATCGTCAGGTATTTCCGTTAAATGATTGCCCGATATTTTTAATCGATACATGCCTGCGCAATTTAAGAACAAGAAGTTAAAAAAAAATCAATGGAATATAAAACCATAACTGCTAACCCGTCGATTGCAAAAAGTACGGTTCAATTTCGCGCAAACCCGTATTTTCCATGTGCAACATAAAGACCTATTAAAAAATTTTAGCAATTTATATTGAAAACTGTTAACCAATATTGCGGCAAATGTACACCCAAAAGTATATATAGCACGCCTTCAATAAGTACGCTGAGTCGCGGGCCACTCATTAAAATACTAAAAACAACTTTTAGGTGCAGCATTTTTTTCGCTTGTACAATTCGTGCCTCTGCCTACCTTCGATTCGTTCACCATTTTAGGTAGGGCCGGAAATGGCACATCCTTGCAATGCACTATGCCCAGATCTGTCGATGATTTTGAACACGTACAAAGCGCATTCTGTGTGCATGGTGGATAGCGCATTTCATCCATTTCATGCATGTGCATTGATGCTCGCGCCAAGGACATCCATATCATTATCATTAACGTTATGATCAGGAAGGCATAGCCAAATTTGAAAAAGAATTCCAGTCCCTGGAAAAGTAGATGAGTAAAATGAAAGTGGTACTTAATGCAATACCCAAAATCGGCCTGCAATTGGCTTTAAGAAATTTCGTAAAATTAAAAAAAAAAAACCTTTAACATATACATACATATATTTTATAAAAATGTCAGGGGCTTTCTACATTTCATTTGCTCTCCAAAAATATGTACTAGTACCACAAATTTCATTAAAAAATTTCAACCTCGGAAATATTTTACCGTTTTCACATAAAAATTAAAATCATTTTATACATTTCTAGTATATTAGTGGTTTTGTGCTTTTTATAAATATGTACTTATGCATGTACATATTTACATACATATATATGTTTAAATTAGACTGATTCGTTCAAGGACATTTCTAATTTTGTGTTAAATTTTTGGCAATTTGATTCCTAAAGCTATAACTGAAAGTAAGTATGTATGTAAATTTTGTAGTTGAAGGTGATAACTTAATTTAAGTTCGATTTAAAAAAAAATAAATAAATATATATTTTCTTATAAGTAAAAAACTTATTTTTGTACATTATATTTGATATTGTTAATCNACAATTTATATTGAAAACTGTTAACCAATATTGCGGCAAATGTACACCCAAAAGTATATATAGCACGCCTTCAATAAGTACGCTGAATCGCGGGCCACTCATTAAAATACTAAAAACAACTTTTAGGTGCAGCATTTTTTTTCGCTTGTACAATTCGTGCCTCTGCCTACCTTCGATTCGTTCACCATTTTAGGTAGGGCCGGAAATGGCACATCCTTGCAATGCACTATGCCCAGATCTGTCGATGATTTTGAACACGTACAAAGCGCATTCTGTGTGCATGGTGGATAGCGCATTTCATCCATTTCATGCATGTGCATTGATGCTCGCGCCAAGGACATCCATATCATTATCATTAACGTTATGATCAGGAAGGCATAGCCAAATTTGAAAAAGAATTCCAGTCCCTGGAAAAGTAGATGAGTAAAATGAAAGTGGTACTTAATGCAATACCCAAAATCGGCCTGCAATTGGCTTTACGAAATTTCGTAAAATTAAAAAAAAAAACCTTAAACATATACATACATATATTTTTTAAAAATGTCAGGGGCTTTCTACATTTCATTTGCTCTCCAAAAATATGTACTAGTACCACAAATTTCATTAAAAAATTTCAACCTCGGAAATATTTTACCGTTTTCACATAAAAATTAAAATCATTTTATACATTTCTAGTATATTAGTGGTTTTGTGCTTTTTATAAATATGTACTTATGCATGTACATATTTACATACATATATATGTTTAAATTAGACTGAATCGTTCAAGGACATTTTTAATTTTGTGTTAAATTTTTGGCAATTTGATTCCTAAAGCTATAACTGAAAGTAAGTATGTATGTAAATTTTGCAGGCAGTTGAAGGTGATAACTTAATTTAAGTTCGATTTAAAAAAAAATAAATATATATATATTTTCTTATAAGTAAAAAACTTATTTTTGTACATTATATTTGATATTGTTAATCGTTAATTTTCCATCGCGCAAATCCTTCAAAAAGGATCTAAGTGTCCTTGATACAAATTAAACTTTTGACATACATATGTAAATTTCACACAACAATAAAAAGAATTCTGACGCTTCTATACCCATATCCTTTAATATCTTTCAGATGCAAAAAATACTGAAGCCATATCCCTGCAATTGTATGCTTTGCAATCAGATACTCTAACAAATTGTGAGGCTTTAAACATTGCATATTAAATTACTGTATGCGTATTCGTGAAACTAGAATTTTATTTTTTTTTACTAAAATATCCTTTTTAAGACACATACACACCATTATCGAGTACTTTTAAATCGTTTTACACGGTTAATGGCATTAGCATGTAGTTTTTAAAATCCTTAAATCAAGTTTAACTGCTTGCAAGCTGTCACGTTTTGCACTTCCACAAAAAAGACACAACACTCGATCATGGAGTCNATCGTTCAAGGACATTTTTAATTTTGTGTTAAATTTTTGGCAATTTGATTCCTAAAGCTATAACTGAAAGTAAGTATGTATGTAAATTTTGCAGGCAGTTGAAGGTGATAACTTAATTTAAGTTCGATTTAAAAAAAAATAAATATATATATATTTTCTTATAAGTAAAAAACTTATTTTTGTACATTATATTTGATATTGTTAATCGTTAATTTTCCATCGCGCAAATCCTTCAAAAAGGATCTAAGTGTCCTTGATACAAATTAAACTTTCGACATACATATGTAAATTTCACACAACAATAAAAAGAATTCTGACGCTTCTATACCCATATCCTTTAATATCTTTCAGATGCAAAAAATACTGAAGCCATATCCCTGCAATTGTATGCTTTGCAATCAGATACTCTAACAAATTGTGAGGCTTTAAACATTGCATATTAAATTACTGTATGCGTATTCGTGAAACTAGAATTTTATTTTTTTTTACTTACGAAAATATCCTTTTTAAGACACATACACACCATTATCGAGTATTTTTAAATCGTTTTACACGGTTAATGGCATTAGCATGTAGTTTTTAAAATCCTTAAACCAAGTTTAACTGCTTGCAAGCCGTCACGTTTTGCACTTCCACAAAAAAGACACAACACTCGATCATGGAGTCTTGTTTGTAACTTTCTTTGATTGTAACTGGTATGCCGGTTGTAAAGTGGTGTATTTTTTATCTCGTTCGTGTCGTTTTTACTGCACCGAATATACTTCCGCTATTGAAACAGGACACTTAAGGATATTTCACAATTTGAAATATTTATTTTTTATTCACTGCAAATTCTTTATCATCTGCTTTATGTTGAAACACGTCCGGACCTCAGCACTTCAAATGTCGTTCTGATACTCGTCTGCTCTACAGCGCACCTCAAATACTTGAAAGAAAGCAGATTAACCTGCACACACTAATTGGATTGTACCATATTGCAACATATTCTTTGGACATGTTCGTATTTTACAATGTATGTTGATTCCGCTTTCGCAGGTGTAATTTCAACATACGAACAGAATCTGTTTGAACCAAACTTGGAAGCGTCTGGAAGTCTCATTTGGAAAGAGAATGCGCTATCATATTCCCTTGGTGCTGGTAATTTATTTTTTTAGAGCAATATTGTTTAGAATGAATTGATCAAAACAAAAGGCGGCTTGCTTAAACAAGTTGCATGCCTCATACACATTTACATGTTTATATGTATTTATTAATTTATAAATAGTTCCTCGACCTTAATTGCAGGAAAGTAAAAGGTATTTCCACTGTTTTTAGCGTTATATTAAAATTTTGCCATTTATTATTAATTATCATTTGTTTGTAGAATTCACGAAAATCTGGGCTCGAATCGTCACATACGATATAGTACTACTCGTCACTTAAAAAGGCATTTTTGGGATTATGACATAAGTGAACGTATTCTTTGTCCCGTTCAGCTTACACTGCCTGACGTATCACGTAATTTTCTTTCGAATCGTTTTCGAGCAGTGAACGGATGTTAAGATTCGAGCCCTGACTACGATAAATTCACTAATATACCCATATGTTTCATTAATGTAGAGTTTTTATTTTGCGATAAAGCCAACTATAATATGTACTCTCCTTACTGATTTCCTTCTCTGTAAGATGTAAAAACCCAATATTATTAATAAATCGAAGACATAAATTCATAAACATAACTCACCTTCTGATTGGAAACATTCTGATATGATCTGTGGACAGATATTGTCCATGCTGTAAAAGAAAGTAGATTTTACTTCCCGAAATTTGTTTTTCGACCGCATGGAAACACGACGAACATGCGGGTCTTTCCTGCAAGTATTCGAAAAACATATGAATAACATCAATATAATTAAAATAAAGATTTTCATAAATATTTGATGAAACCCACCCCTCTAAATGTTCGCGCACATCATGCGCTGACAAAGAGATCTCAATTTCATCTACTAAACTGTCGTCGATATTTTCTAGAAACCGTGGAGGTTTCCTCAAAAGCTGCTCACAAACCTCACTGTAAACTGCAAATTAAATGAGTAAATTAAACAAGGAAACTATAGAAAAGTTAGAAAACCCCAAATCCAAACTACTTACCGTTGCTTAAATTCAAATTAACATGTATCATAAGTAAGTGCTCCAGTGCGCAATGTACTTGCAATAGTTTTGCAAGACGTTCTGCTGTGTCCATCTCATCGAAGTTGCTGTTCTTAAAACCTACCGCATCTTCGTCTTTGAATTTATTACCACCCTTGGCTGTATTGTGCAGCAGTGTTTTGCGCATAGCCACGACTTCCGGACGGACAGCATTTCGCAGTGATTTGCGAACGTTTGGCATTGCCTCGTTTTCATCATTGTGGCGTAAATCAAAAAGACTTTAAATAAAAATAAATCCTTGTTAATAAAGAAACTTTTATAGAGGACTGGTTGTATATCATCACATACACATATATGTATGCAAAATGTTTGCTCTCACCTTTTGCTTTTTAAATCGTTGGCGCTGCATATTTTACTTTCATCAAATATGAGCTCGTAGTCTTTGTACAGCTTTTCCAATCCAATTTCCAATAATAATTCCAATGGTTCGGTGCCCGTGAGACACGGAATCGCCAAGCGTCGATTAGCAACCTCGGTAATGATTTCTGCCAGTCGGTTTTTGTTCGTGGGCGTATTCTTTGCAAGGCAAGTGAACATAGGAGAGGAGAAAAGCAAAAGTAAACGCGTAATCCATAAGTTTACATACACTCAAGTGATTATAGTTTTCTGTTGAATAAACCTTAATCAAAAGGATCAATCGTTATTTATTCAGGGGCGAAACATGTTAACACTTAACATTTTAGGTGTAAATAATGGGCACCATACAAACAAAAAGAGAGGTTAAGCTCAGACTCAATTTTTGGACTGATAAAGTGAGTTGAAAATAAAGTCGGAGCTAACAGGGAATTTACATGATTCAACTGTCATAGGCAATTAGTTCAATCCAAAGTTGAACGAAAGTGACCAGCTGCAGTGGAATTGTGACAATCGCTAAGCTAAATTTTTGTCGCTAAAGTTCTCTAAATGAAAAGCAGTGCGGCCTTAAAGTATATAACATGGAAGAGTAACACGTGCAATGTATAATCAGCCAAATCTCGCGATAGGGGGCATGTAACTAAATGTAGCGTGCTGTTAGAGGCGCCTGCTATTCTTTTGGAGATTTTTTGTGATCAAATTTTAGAATCCGGTTATTTTCACCTTCATTGAGAGTGTTGATGTGAAAGATCATTTACACCAGGCAATTGCTGCATTCAGCTAAAAGTTGTCTGTAAAATCGCCTCATGTAAATTCCCAATAAGACTCACTTTGTAAGCTTAAGGCTTACTGTGTTAAGATATTGACCTCTAAAAAACACTTACCACAATATTGCAGTGGGCCGCACACTTAAATAACATCGTAAATGCCATTTTTAAGTCTTTATATGAAGAACAACCTATCAAAGAGATACAAGGAATTTAAAAAACTTGTATGTTAATTATTCTTACGTTTCAAGATCTCCCACAACTTGTCGGTGAGATCAGTAAGACGCCTTATCTTTACACGCTGCACAACTGCTTCAATATCGCACTCTACCCCACTTTCNCGAAAGAGATACAAGGAATTTAAAAAACTTGTATGTTAATTATTCTTACGTTTCAAGATCTCCCACAACTTGTCGGTGAGATCAGTAAGACGCCTGATCTTTACACGCTGCACAACTGCTTCAATATCGCACTCTACCCCACTTTCTGTGGTGTCAATTACACCAAAACCTGCAATTTCCGTAACTGCTTTGCTGATATTTTCACGTAATTCGTCCACGTCGATGCCACTGCATTGAAAAAAATATATATACATATATTAATCCAAACAAAATAAACTTAAACGTCATACTGACTAGCCACAACGATACACCAGCGCTTCATTACGCCCATCAGCGTCACCATTGTCTATGCACTTGTATGCGATAATATCATTTCTTATTACTGTCAATATGCGCAACTGATTCATAAAATCTTCAGTTAATTCATTGCAGGAGCTTAAACAAAAGGACTGACGCAAAGTAACGTCACATGATGTCAAATCCACCAAAGAAGGTGATGCTGCTGTCGAAGACCAACTGCAGCGTACAGATATGTGAGGTTTAATTTGATAGGTGTTCTCTATATAGGTTTCTACTTGTGCCGTCGTACTTCGGGTAATGAGGGCCAAATGCTGACGCATTAACGATTGTGTATTTACTTCGAATGTGGGTATTATACCTTGGCAGGTGACTATACCCCGATTAAAGCATCCTGGTGAGAAGTCATATTGCAACATTAATGTTTTCTCGGCATCTGCTCCGTTGCAGAGTATCCAAATGGAGCCCGTTGCTTCGGGATCAACACTCTGAAATTCCTCTTTACAAATGATAGCACGTGCTTTCTCTACGTTAATTCCTTTGTGGCATTCTTCTTGCATGAGCCATGGATTTGCTACGTCTATCCTTATGTTTAGTGAAATATCTTCGATAGCTTCTACTACACAATCGTCCTTAAGTGGACTGCCTGTGAGGTCCATATCAACAGCCTTACTAACGCCTTCGTTGTTTTTCAAGAGAATATTGGATTGAGATGCGTAGGCATTAGCAATTTTGCTACGATCCTAAAAAATGTACATTAACATAAATATCCGATTGTTCAGAAGCGGAATGAGCTAACCTCGATATAAAAATACACCACTTTACCAGCATAATCATCCGAACCAACAATCTTGGATAAATAGGATGGAGGCTCCGTATAAATGAGTGTATAAGATTCACCATATCTTCGTAACAAGGACGCATAAACATTTGCCAAGTGCGCGGTCATTTTTTTAAATAATTACTCTGGTATGAAATAGAACTTTTTTTGAAAACCGTGAATGAAAAATTCGAATAAAAAAAATCCAACAAAGCCGTAGCAGGGTTGCTGAGTTTGACGTTGGTTCAAAATGCAGTTAGCCATTGTGAATACGAATGGCAAGATTTTACGCTGCGTTTACATAAGACAATTTCAGACAAGACAATTGTGAATATGTATTAGTTGTCAAATTGTTGTGTAAAGTAGTAGTCCGGACAATTATAAAGAGAATACATAGTCTGTGAGGCAAACACTAAATTGGGGTTTGTCAAACGTAACTCAAAGGACTTTTTAGATGCACTCACACTTAAAAGTCTTTACACATGCTTGGTGAGATCTATTTTGGAATAGGCGTGCATTATTTGGGACTCCGATTTTGTCACTCACTCTGACCGCATAGAAAGAGTTCAGAGGCGTTTTACTAAATTTGCCCTTCGACGCATATTTTCTTATGAATCTATGCCATCTTACGAACTGAGATGCAGAATACTGAATTTACAATACCTTGCTAATAGGAGAAAAATCTGTAGTATTCTTTTCATCAAGGATATATGCTATAACAAAATCGATTCCCCTGAAGTACTGCGCCGGAGAGGCTTCTAAGAGAAAAATACATTTTTTTACGTACCAACGCGAGAAACAAAATTTGCTAATAATGAGCCCATTCACAGACCCATTTGTCTATGTAACTCTATTTGTAATTATGTCGAACTTTACTCATGTAGAGAGCGTTTTAAAATTAATATCAATGATTATTTTATTTTCAAATAATTTACACATACACATTGTTATCCTGTATGTATAAATATTATGACTAAATTTGTATAACGCGTTATTTTTTTCCTGCATATCTGTGAGAACAGTGTCCGGTAGATAATTAAACAAATACGCGCAAGTTTTACATTCATATTTCATGAGGACAGTTTTATATTTTGTTCAAATTCTGACATTTAATTATTTGACAATTACAAAAAAAAAACTGGGCATGAATCACGTATGACGACAATCGTCGGGACGATATCGTGCTGAGATTGTCTTGTTTCATAAGAACCCAAAATTGTTCGATCGTTTGTGCGAAATCCTCCACACAATTCTAGTTTTGCTTCACGTAACAGTAACAGTAAAAGTAACAGTAACACGTAACAGCAACGCAAATACATGAATCAGTGTTTTGATGACATCGTTTTGTCGTTATCGTTTGAACGACAATCGTTTCAAAGTGATTCATGCCTTGTTAAAAACTATTAAAAAGTTGAAACTCAAATTTAAGTATATATTTAAGGGCCGGTTACTCAATGTCTGGTTAACACTAATATCCGGTTAAAACATCATTATCGACGTGTTCGGCTCCATGCATATAACATGGTGTCGGTAACGTCGATAACGATGTTTTACCGGAGATTAGTGTTAGCCAGACATTGAGTAACCGGCCCTAAGTCTTACCGCAATCATTTCTAAAAGGCGTTGAGCACAAATCGAAATGAAAGTAAACTAAATATCTGATTGAGGGTTGCACAGCGCACTGCGCAGATTTGCGCGACCAAATTGCTGCGCAAAGTTGCATTTTTTGTGCAAATTACTTTCCATAAAAATGTTGACATTTCAGTTGCGAGTGTTTAAAATTGCACAGTTTGTCCACTTTACAGGGGTTTTGCGCCTTAAAATTAGTACCCTTATCATTTACTAAAATATCCAAACCACTTTTTCATAACTAAGATTTTTTGAATGTAAATTTTATTAGCCATACCTGCGTACGCCCATGAAGGTCGCACAGAGAAGAAACATATTTTTATTTTTGAGAAAGCTTATATAATAATAATCATTATAACCCCTATGAATAAGCAGCGCTAGCAACAGAGAAGAAACATAACTTTTTTTGAGATGTGAGAATAAGACCGCTTTCAGACACGTCAAGTCTTGATTTCAAGTCTGTTCGTTCGTAGGCGAAGGAGGTGAGACGAATGTACTCTTCCCTTCTCATCTCACCTCCTTCGCCAATGAACCGAGTAGACTTGAAAGCAAGACTTGACGTGTCTGAGGGGACTAAACACAACAATTTGACGGCCAACAATCTGAGATTTTCCTGTGTAAATGAGGTGATTAATAAACGAGCTTTGTTTGAGAATATTAGGGGATTCCCTTACACACGTAAAGTCTTATACCGTGTAAAACAAAGCAAAGAAAACAAAGAAAACCAAAATTAACCAAAATTATAGTCAGCCACTTTAAACACACAAGTTAGGTAAAACGATTAATTAAAAAGCTTTAGTACGTGTTATCATGTCGAATTAACTTTTCTTTAAAAGGTATTCCTACGAGGCGATTTCGCGTTCAGGGTTGACTGGCGACCAATTTTGTTGAGAGCGATTAATTTGCCGTTCAACCAAAAGGAGAATGCAAAGTTGAACAATGCCTTTTTATGGCGAATATGTTGATATTTTTTTATATCTTGATGTTTCTAGCAATTCAATTTTTTTTCATGCAACCCTGCGTGAGTTGAACGCAAAATCGCTTGGTGCGAACGGTCTTTTAGTTAACGAAATGTATGAAATAGTGGAGCTTGTGATGTAAACAAATGCTCAGCTGACGAACCCGCTTTCGCAAACTATTCTCTCAAAACTAGTTACAAATACAACGTCGCGTTCTTGCGCGATCTTGATTTTTGGTTCATGGAACGCCCCCTTTGTGAAAAGGTGTGAATAGGTTCGCAAATTGACGTCAATACAGTACTGTTTGACAGTTCAACAAGAATTTTGTGAAGCAATTTTTGTTTCGTAGTATTTTCCATAACATCCCGCCATCTTGTCTCTATCACTATTGGCTACAATATAATTAAAATTGCCGATAATTAGCAGAAAACTGAAGTCAATACAGTTAGTGAATGAAATTAGTTCATTTTATTTGCGGATTATTTTTTTAATTTATTTTCGTTATTTTATCATTCATTTTAGGAAAAAAATGTCGGCCTCTAGGCAACACTGAAGTTTACGAGGTTGCTCGGGTATCAAATTTGCCTCCTGAATTTACAAGGGGCTCGTAAATTGAGCTCCATATAAATGTTTACAGTTCTTTTACGAGGCTCGTAAATTTACGAGGTTTGCGAACCTGAATTGAAACGCCCGATCTGGCTAGTTTAAACTAAGATCTGCCGATCAAATGTCAATTTAAACTAAGTTTACTTAATCTAGGTCTAAACTGGCACTGAAAAATTGGCCCGTAAGCTGCCTTTACATGAGGCGATTTTCCAGGCGATTCAACATTGCTCTGAAAAAATCGCTCGTGTAAATGGTGATTCAAAAATCGCTGGCCTCAAAGTAGACAGCAAGTTAAATAATCGCCCCATGTAAAGGCAGCTTTATATTTACATGTAGTCCTTTACGGCGCGTTTACATTGGACAATGCTGTCAATACAANTAAATAATCGCCCCATGTAAAGGCAGTTTTATATTAACATGTAGTCCTTTACGGCGCGTTTACATTGGACAATGCTGTCAATACAATAAAAAAATAGATATTAGTTTTCAAAAACGCTGATAATTGTCTCCGTGGCGTAGGCGTCCTGACAATAGTTAAGACAATTCATTTTGAGCAAAATGTCGAACGTGAACGTGAACCCTAAGTTAGGGTTTNCTTCATTCATTTTAGGAAAAAAATGTCAGCCTCTCGGCAACACTGAAGTTTACGAGGTTGCTCGGGTATCAAATTTGCCTCCTGAATTTACAAGGGGCTCGTAAATTGAGCTCCATATAAATGTTTACAGTTCTTTTACGAGGCTCGTAAATTTACGAGGTTTGCGAACCTGAATTGAAACGCCCGATCTGGCTAGTTTAAACTAAGATCTGCCGATCAAATGTCAATTTAAACTAAGTTTACTTAATCTAGGTCTAAACTGGCACTGAAAAATTGGCCCGTAAGCTGCCTTTACATGAGGCGATTTTCCAGGCGATTCAACATTGCTCTGAAAAAATCGCTCGTGTAAATGGTGATTCAAAAATCGCTGGCCTCAAAGTAGACAGCAAGTTAAATAATCGCCCCATGTAAAGGCAGCTTTATATTTACATGTAGTCCTTTACGGCGCGTTTACATTGGACAATGCTGTCAATACAATAAAAAAATAGATATTAGTTTTCAAAAACGCTGATAATTGTCTCCGTGGCGTAGGCGTCCTGACAATAGTTAAGACAATTCATTTTGAGTAAAATGTCGAACGTGAACGTGAACCCTAAGTTAGGGTTTACACCAGAAAATACTGTCATGACAATAATGTCAACATTATGTGTTTGTTGTAATATGGTGTAAACCCTAAATAAGTTACTTATTATCCGCGTTTTTAACCACTAATACGTATTTCTTTATTGTCTTGACAGCATTGTCTAATGCAAACGCGCCGTTAAGAAACGCTTGATAACTAGTGATAATTAGGGCCAGTTTTTCAGTGCCAGTTTAAACTTAGTTTAAGTAAACTGAGTTGAAATTGGACAGCTGGCTGACATTTGATTGGCTGATCTTAGGGCTCTGTCACACGGTCAGTAATTATCACGATATTTGGATCGCGATCCATATTGATGGATTGATGGATCGCGCACGAATGCTACATGTTCAATATTTATCGTGTCAGGATTTGCATAATTTTTGTGCTGAATGCTTATTATGACGCAAGCTCTTTAAAATTCACCACTTGAGGTGAAAAGTGTTTTGCTGTCAAACGGCCATATTATAAATGAAAAACAGCGCGAAAAATGCAGGCCGAACAACAAAAAAAGTAAGTAATTTTATAAAATGTAAAAATTTGCTGTATAATATCTTATTTAATTTATTTTCTAGGCGATCCAAGTTCGAAAGAAATTCGCAGGAGCAGCTGCAGTATTTTATAAGTTTCTGCAAAGAGCACCCGGAGCTTCAACGTGGGAAGTTCCAACCAAGTAACCCCCAGTTAATACAAAATTAATGGTCAGAAGTGGCAGACACCCTAAATTCAATACGAGGGCCCATTCGAACTATGGCCAAGTGGAAGGAAGGAGGTGTCAGTTTTTTTTATTCCTATTTTTACATATGTATATATTTTCTGTTTAGTCGCTTAACGCAAGAATTTAATTAAAAAAAAACTCAAAAAACAGCTGTTTTTGCTTTGTGAGGTTCATATGTGGTCATTACAAATTTTCTGACAATTGTGATCTTTTTATGTTTTGTATTTTCGCCAGCATTGGGTGAACCTCACAATAGTGAGAAAACTCACAATAGTGAGTATGGTGATTTTTGTGAGGGCGCTAGAATAGGGAGTATGTAGTTGACGTTAACAATGTACTGCATATACCAGACTTATCAGCAAATTTATTATCGGCCTATAGAATGGTAGAAGCGGGAAAAAAATCGTATTTGANAGTGACAATTATCCGTAAAGAAACGTAGCTATTACTTTATTTGATATCGATAGTCGATATCAACTTATGCACAAAATACCGTTGATGGGAGGTGTTTACGTTCTTGACGCGACAACACATATCAAATTTATAATTTTCTTNTAAATTGAGTTTAAACCACGGCCGTACACTGAAAAACTTGCCCTTAGTGACAATTATCCGTAAAGAAACGTAGCTATTACTTTATTTGATATCGATAGTCGATATCAACTTATGCACAAAATACCGTTGATGGGGGGTGTTTACGTTCTTGACGCGACAACACATATCAAATTTATAATTTTCTTCTGCTTGATTTTCACAATCCCAGGTGAAAAAAGGTGCGTATTCCATATATTATTTACTTTATTCTAAAACTCTCTTCTGAATTAAAGATGTTAGCAAGCGAGGATGCTGATCCCAATGAAGATTTCCAATTACTGCTACACAAAATATCCGAGCAAGAAGATGACATAAATTCCAATTTGGATAGTTTACTATCCAAGCAGTCACTTATCGAGTCAAAAATGAGTGCGTTTGGCCATTTTCTTGGTTCCTTAAATTCCGTGGACGCAGATACCAAAAAGTTAAGTCTACAAATTTCTCATACCGCTAATTTAGCTGAATCTGTAAGTGCTAAGGTGCGTTGTGTAGACTTGGCTAGAAGCCGCGCATCTGAATGCCAGCAACGTGTACATGATTTAATAGATTTGCAACTTTGTAGCCACGGTGTACTAAAAGCAATAGATGAGGAAGACTATGAAAAGGGATCAGCTCTGATTGGTCGTTTTTTATCAATAGACCAGAATGTTTTACAACGGACAGCTGGTGATGTCGGCTCAAGTGGTTCTGTTACATCTGTAAGCGATGCTGTTCATACACTAGAAAACGCCACTGCAAAAATGCGAAAGCTTGTAGAGCAACGCTTCGACGAAGCTGTCAACAAAGATGACTTGGCTTCAGTGGAGCGATTTTTGAAATTATTTCCTTTATTAGGGATGCATTACGATGGCATCGAAAAATTTGGCAAATACATTTGCATGAAATTGGCTATTAAATCAGAAAAGGAAGTACGCACTTCACTGGATATAGCAAAGGCAGAGAACCGTTTGCCAGTAGCGTTTGCCGATACTTTAACGTCTTTATTAGAGAATTTCGCCCGTGTAATTGAAGTAAATAAGCCCATCATAGAGGCCTATTATGGGTCCGGCTATCTCATAACTTTAGCGATATTATTACAAAATGAATGCGACTCAGAGGTTAAGAACGTTGTTTTGGAATTTAATAAAAATAGGCGAACACATGATATAATTCAACAAATCAACGACTACAATCGTTCCACAGGCGGTAGTATGCCATCGCTTAGTCAATATCAAAAGCAATATGTTAGCATGGAAAAACCTCAACTAAAGGACATTGACCCAATCATTGTAGAACTAACAATCATGCACTCTCGTGTAGAATTGTACTTCAGATTTTTAAGGCGTAAGGTGAAGTTAGACATCGACGCCAGTAACACAGAAGAAATTGAGAAAGAACGCCAAACACAACGTTTAACATCGCTTTTAAACAATTCAGATCTTAGTCGTCAAATGCAGGAACTACTCAGCACATATCTGCTACTCGAGAGACATTTTATGGAAGAAAGCGTATATAAAGCAATAGCTTTGGACACTTTTGAAGTTGGTCAACAATGTTCATCTATGGTGGATGATGTTTTTTATATTTTACGAAAATGTATTCGCCGGTCGCTAACAACGCAATCAGTAAACGGGCTATGCGCAGTGATCAACAATGCTGCTTCCTGCTTATACAATTTTATAAATGCTTTGAAAATTCCACTTAAGAATGGATATCCTTCCGGCTACACAGATTTAGCTTATAGCGCCATCCAAAGTGCAGTACAGCATGGGAAATTGCAATCCAGTGACAGTGAAAAGGCCCGCACCAACTTTATTAACCGCTTAAATAATGCTGATATGTCGACCGAATATCTTGAAACCTTATGGGAAACCATAGAGCAAGATATCAAAAACTCATTTCCATCGATTTCAGCTACCGAGCGACGTATTGTAGACAGTTGCATATCAGAATTGAGAACCGTAAGAGATACCTTAAAAGCCTGTGTAAATTTTGGTATGACCCAATTAAGATCGAGTGCAATTAAACCTCGCCTAAATCCCTGGGTTGACCAATTTCTCAACTACAGTCACATTCTGTCCGAAGAAGAACTGGCTGACTACGAGGCAGGCGAAACATATATTCAAACTCTTATTGTGCAGCTGGATGGTTTCTTAAGCCAATTCAAAAATGTGCTTACGCCAAGGAATTTTGATGCTTTTGTTAGTATATTAGCTGCAGATACTACTTCGAGACTGGAAAGAGTAATAAAGAAGACGTCTTTTAATCGACTCGGAGGTCTCATTCTCGATCAGGAAATTCGTGCACTTAGTTCATATTTAACTGGTGTAACATCATGGTCAGTACGCGACAAAATGACACGATTGACGCAGATAGCAACAATATTAAATTTAGAGAAGGTTGACGAACTTTCTGATTACTGGAGTCCAGAAAATGGAAATGAAACCCCTTCGTGGCGTTTAACGGCCCAAGAAGTGAGGACATTGTTAGCATTACGCACTGATTTTCGTATGGATGAGATCAAGCGCGTAAAATTGTAATTATTGTAACGAATGGAATACGACCATCATACTATGTGTAAGTATATACATGTTTATGGATTTGTGCAATACTCTACTAAGATTTTACTTTCGAGTTTTCCATTAAATTTGATTCTCTATTCTTTTCATAGTATTTCGATCACAAAATATGTACTTATATTCACAGTATACTGTGCTTATATTGAAAGCCATTATTGGTTGACAAATAATCTATTCTCGTCGCGTATATGTACATATGAATGTATAAGTTAATTTTAATTGAAAGATCTACATAAATATAATGCATAATATCTTATATTTTCAATATTTATACATACTTAAATTATTATTTTTTTTAAGACAAAGACAAATGCGAATTTTACTTCCTTCCAACTTCAAATTTGACATCAAGACGCGCCGAAAGTTGCGTATTATCCGTTTGGAAAGCGCTTTTGCTATGTGCCACTTTAACTCCACCATCAACAGTCGTTTTACTATCGTGACTACGCCATAGATTCGCAAGGGCCTCCAGAGCTATTTCTGTTTTGCGTTGTTGATTATTATGATCAGCGGATAATGTTATGTCAAATTGACGTCGAAATCGTTGAAAACATAGCTTTCCTGGAAGACTTCCTTTAAGCGAATTCTCTGGCCAAGCTTGACAACACAATAAGCTTATAATTGCAAGAAAAGCAGTTATTGTTTTTCTCATATTTGTTCAGATTACTAAAGTTTCCTTCACTTATATTAAAAAATATCGAGTAAATACACATACATACAATTGTGTTTATGTATTTGGAGGGCTTATCGCAAACCGTGATAACAATTGAGTCTGCTATAATCAAAATATTAATGTTGAGTCTTTGCTGTAATAAATTATTTTTAAATTT